ACCTGCTGGGCTCCAGCGATCCTTCTGCCTCAGCCTTCCAAGTAGCCGGAACTACAGGTATTCGCTACCCTGCCCAGCGAATATTTTGATTTATTGTAGAGATGAGGTCCCACCAAATTGCCCAGGTTGATCTCAAACTCCTGAGCTCAGGCCATCCTCTTGTCTCAGCCTCCCAAAGTGTTGGGATTATAGGCTTGAGCCACCACGCCCAGCCCACACTTTTTATTTGTGGGTTATGACTCAAGAAAGCTGGAAAATTTTTAAAAGCAATTTTAAAAAATAACATCCCATCACTCCATCCCCTTGCCTCGCTTTTTTTCTTCAAGAACTTCTTGGCATTGTTAGATATTTAGCTGTATTTATAGCTTGTTTTGTGCCTTCTCCACTAGAATGTAGGCACCCCTGGGGCAGAGACCACCTTGTACGTGCCCCTCAATGCCCAGTGCCTGGTAAACAGTGGGTGCTCAGTGCATATCTGTGGACTCTCCTTTGGTGAGGCTCAGGGCCCCCAGAACACAGGGTTGCAGCAAGTAGGGGCTGACCTGCCCTCTCCCTGGGGGCGGATGTTACCGCCAGAATGATGGACAATTCTTAAGCGAAAGAGAGATGATGAATGAGTGAGAAATGGGATGTCATGGAAATGACAACTGGGGTAATCCACAGTCCTGAACACAGAGGAGTAGGACAAGGCCCGAGTCCAAGGGGACGCCATCTGTCAAAGCCCCTCGGTGCCAGTGTTCTGGAGACACAGGCCGAGTCTCATCCTGACTGCGATGGGGTGGCCTTTCCCAGGCCCTCCCAAACCCGCCTGCCTATCCCCGGCCCTGACAACAGGGTTCATCGTGCAAGACTGATGCCGGACACAGGGAGAAAGGAGAGCTTGGGGAGACGATTAGCTAACAAAACAGGAAGCCAGGTTTCCTGCCTGGTCGTTGGAGTGCGGTGCGGAGTCATCTGCAGCCCGAGTCTCAGTTGGGACCAGGGAGGTCTGTGCAGAGACCCGCCCTCGCTTTGGGATTCCTCGTATGTAAAAAGAGGATCACAATAACGCCTACCTTGTGGGGCTGCTGTGAGTCTGTAAGCGAGGGGCAGAGGTGAGTGCTGAGGGCAGCGTGTGACACCCAGCAAGCCTGACTACAGCGTCTGCTTCTTTTCCTGTGACCCACTGAGGACTGGGCTGTGGGAACCCAAAGCCGGCCTCCTAGCCACATGCTTTGCCACCTTCCCAGAAGTGGCAGGATGGATTGTTGGTCAAGACCAGAGACTACGGAGTCAGCTGGACCTGAACCGAATCCCGACCCTGTTGATTGCCAGCAGTGTGTGTATTTGGGTTTGCCACTTCACTGCTCCTTACCTCAGTTTCCTTGTCTGCAACATGGGGACACCCATAGAACCCACCTCACAGGTAAAGTGTTTAGAACAGTGTTGGTTGTGACTATTAACATGGGCAGCAGAGAGCCCAGGCATCTCAGCTCTACGGAGGCAAGGCTGTAGTTGGACCTCTGAGGACACCACTGGGACAAGCTCTCCCTGTGCTGGTGGAGTACCTCGCTGGTCCCAGGGGCTCCTGTTTAGATCCTGAATGGCGCTTCCCCTGCTGGCCACTAGATGGCAAGCATGTTCTTTCGTGTCCCACCAAGCCCGTCAGCATCAGGGACAACCTGCATGAGCCCAGGCCTGGCTCGGGGTCAGGCTTCAAGGCACACACGCTGCCCTTCCTGGTGGTGGTGATGATTCCCATTCCACAAAGGAGAGACTGAGGCACGGAGAGGATGAGGAGGCAGATGGAGCCTGGCTTCTGAGGCGACCTGAGGCTGACTCCAAGTTCAGCATCTTCCCCTTGGCAGCTGTGGCCCACTTCAAGGGTTCGCCACATCGCTCGTGCCCTCTGGATTCCTTCCGCATTGGCCACTTTCACACTCCCGGTGTGACCGCAAACCCGTTGTGTAGGCTTCATCTGCACCGTGGGAATTGTGCTACCTTCCCGATGTAGAAGATGCTTCAGAAATAGCAATTAGACCCGAGTGGGCGCCGTGGATGGTGGCCACTGTTGTCAATGCCTTAAATGCTGGCATAACCGGGAAGGCTCATTCCTTCCTCCCTTCCCTCTCTCCTTCCTCTCTCTCCCCCCTTCCCTTCTTCCTCTTCTCCGTGTGCCCAGAGCTGCAAAAAGCCCTCATGGTTTCTGCTGCTTATGGAATTTACCAACATTTCTTAGTCTCTCTTCATTCCTGGGACATTTCACTCCCAGGGTGTCTTGCTTCCTATAACCAGCAGCAATTTGGGCGCCATCATCTGCCCTTCTTACTGGGGTTCTTCTCTTTGCAGGACCCTATAATTATAGACCACACAACTCAGGCTCTCCCCCACCACATCCACTCTGAAACAAGTCCACACATTCCTCTGGGACCCTGAGGCATGTTCAAATACCACGCCACCTGGCTCCATTCATTCTGCTTCAGCAATGGCTTTCTCACTGACTTTGGGAGTAAAAGATTTGCTGGTGTGTGTGCCTGGGTCTTTGGGAGGAGGGCGTGAGGTGGGAAGACAGGGTCTACCGCAGGACAGCTCGGGTTTTATCTAATTTATATTTTGGGACTGTACGCAAGTGTTCTGCTGCTAAAGAAAACCATCTATGACAATCCCCCGTGATGGGTGGGAGGGAGGTGAGCGTTGAGATAATTCAGAGAAAGCCTCCAGGAAAGAGAATATTTCCGGGAATGTGCTTTAAGATTAGTTTCCAAAAAATGGAATTTGATTTTTGCATGATTGTAATTGGGAGGTTATCTGGAACCCACTTGCCAACACCACTGTGGCGACCGATGCCAGCGCCTGACCTCAGCACGCCCCTGGCATTTGACTCTACCTTTCCTGTGTTGCAGTGCCCTGGTTCCCACGAGCCATTCAGGAGCTGGACAGATTTGCCAACCAGATTCTCAGCTATGGAGCCGAGCTGGACACAGATCACCCCGTGAGTCCTGGTCCTGGGAGTGGGCTCCCCCGACCCAAGTGTTTGTTGACTTGTCCAGCTAACATGTATTGAGCTCCTATCACGCCAGGGCTAGGGGAGTGAAGACTGTTGAGACATCAGTGTCATTACCCTTAGCACGGGCCTCACTATCGAGACATCAGTGTCATCACCATTAGCGTGGGTCTTACTCTCCTCTGGAGCAAATATGGGTCACTGTCCAGAGCTGTGGTCTCCACGTAACCCATGTGTGTCTACATAAGAACACACACGTAAATCGTCTTCTTCTCTGCCTTTGGACATCTGTGGAGGTTTAAATCAAGGGGCTGGGATGCAGTAACCTGTACTCATGACCGCCTGCTGCAGGGCGTGGTGAGGATTGGTAACATCGGAACTGCTTCTGGCTCGAGTCTATAATCCCAACACTTTGGGAGGCCGAGGCGAGAGGATGGCCTGAACCCGCGGGTTTGAGAGCAGCCTGGGCAACATGGTGAGACCTCGTCTCTACCGTAAACCAAAAAATTAGCTGGGCGTGGTCGTGCACGCCTGTAGTTTCAGCTACTTGGAAGGCTGAGGTAGAAGGATCACCTGAGCGCAGCAGGTTGAGGCTGCGGTGGCTGGCAGGGTGCCACTGCACTCCAGCCTGGGCGACAGAGTGAGACGCCAACCGAAAACAAACAAACAAATAAATAAATAAATATAAAACTGAGAAGAGGCCGGGATCATTGGCTCAGCCTGTAATCCCAACACTTTGGGAGGCCGAGGAGAGTGGATGGCCTGAGCCCCCGGGTTGGAGACCAGCCTGGGCAATGTGGTGAGAACTCCTCTCTACAATACGTGAAAAAAAAATTAGCGGGCATGGTAGCGTGTGCCTGTCAATCCAGCTACTTGGAAGGCTGAGGCAGAAGGATTGGGAGAGCCTCAGCTGGTGGACGCTGGGGTGGCCGTGAGCGTGCCACTGTACTCCAGCCTGGGCGATGGAGTGAGACTCCGACTCAAAAGAAAAAACAACAAAACAAAACAAAACAAAAACTGAGTAGAAGATGTGATCAAGTAAGGAAAGGAGAGGGCTTATGTACAGCAAGGACTGGGTCCTAGAAGGATCTGGATGACTCCGGCAGAGACTGATGGATGCGCCAGGTAGGAGAAAGAGAGGTGCGACGCGGGCAGCGGTCGGGTCAGATTTTACAAGGTCTAACACACCAGAAAGAAGGATGTGGACTGTGCCTGTGTCCTGCGGGTGGTGGAGCGGGCGCTTTCACCCGTTTTCTTTTTTCTTTTTTTTTGAGTCGGAGTCTCACGCGGTCGCCCAGACTGGAGTGCAGCGGCCGCTCCCGGCCCCCGCAGCCTCGACCTGCCGGGCTCCGGCCATCCTCCCGCCTCAGCCTTCCCAGGAGCTGGAACGACAGGCGCGCGCTCCCACGCCCGGCTCGTTTTTGATTTCTTGCAGCGATGAGGTCTGGCTGCCCAGGCGGGTCTCGAACCCGCGGGCTCGGGCCATCCCCTCACCGCAGCCTCCCAAAGGCGCGGG